ATATATATATATATATATATATATATATATATATATATATATATATATATATATATATATATATATATATATATATATATATATATATATATATATATATGTATAGATGTGGTGTTTATTATTCATATACAATGTGTGTGTGACAGTATGCATTTGGCACGGTGGAAGATGAAAACTTGTACTACGGTGCAGAAGCCACCTACAACGTGTGGGCGCCGGCGGTGGCCAACAACGGCGAGTTCAGCTTATCACAGTTTTGGCTCACGTCTGGCACTTACGCCACCAACCTCAACACCATCGAAGCCGGGTGGCAGGTAACTATTTCCGCCAAACCACTTCTATGTATAAACATATTTAAATGAATTGACACCACTAAAAAAAAAGTAGATGATACATATCGGGTGATTGTTACACTCGTAGTGTGTCTTCTTCGATCCATTTTTGTTACACTCGTACTTTTATTTATTTGAAACATATAATTTTTCTCAGGTTCTATACGGGAATAGCTATCCAAGATTCTTCATTTACTGGACGGTATGGCCTCCTCCTCCTCTTTGCCCCTCCAAGTGAATTAGAGATTCCTTATATCCTCAAATATCGTAGGCCGATGCGTATCAGTCCACGGGTTGCTATGACCTAACATGCCCTGGTTTCGTCCAAACCAACAACGATATCGTTGTCGGAGGTTCCATCAATCCAACATCGACTTACGATGGCCAGCAATCCGAAATGAAGCTACTGGTTTGGAAGGTAATTGAATTATGTTGACTCGTCGCGCGATTGTAAATTCATTTTCACGAAGATTATATCTGAGATTTATCTCATGAACCCCCCTTCGACGATCAAATCAGTGTTTATTCGTTCGCTATAGACGAAATGCATGAGGGTTTCGGCTTAAGCGCTATTAAGAAGAAAATCGTATATGCTTTGATGGTGCAACAGGATCACAAGGATGGGAACTGGTGGCTGGAGTGGGACTCCACCGTGGTCGGCTACTGGCCGTCGTCCTTGTTCAGCCACCTCGCGGACAGCGCAACCTCGGTGCAGTTCGGCGGCGAGATCGTCAACAACGGCACTTCCGGCGTCCACACCGCCACCCAGATGGGCAGCGGATACTTCCCGGAGGAAGGCTACCGCAGAGCTGCTTACACTCGTAACCTACAAGTGGTGGACGCCAACAACACCCTCTTCCCGGTACAGAGCCTCAGCCTCACTGCCGGAAAGCCCAACTGCTACAACATAACCAAAGGCGTCAACAGTGACTGGGGAACGCACTTCTTCTTTGGAGGCCCGGGAAGGAGCGATGTGTGCCCTTGAGCAACCGGAGCATCTCCTCTCTCATCTACTGCTCTCTTCTCCGATGGTTGCGCCTGTGTCTTTGTGTGGAATAATGGTGGTCTTTGTTGTATTTGCTTTGGTCTAATACACGCAGATCATGCGTATACTACAGTAATAAATGCATTATCCAACTGGTTCTTTAGAATCTTTCCCTCTGTTATATATACTTCAGGAACAAATATTACGACTAACCCTTCAGCTGTTGAACGATCGGTTTTGCAGAGACTTGAACTTTATTTCGAAATCATTGACTTCAAAGGAAAAGAAAAGAAAAAGAGAGAGAAACATGATCAGTTTGCATAAGAATGGATCGAAGAATCTTCCGTCACAAGATGGACATCAGATGCCATGTTCGTAATCGTCGGTAGCTGAGTGTTCATTGCAGAAAAAGCAACAAGTGAGAACCGTGGTGAGCTGACGTTTTTCACCTTTATTTGGCTCAGCAGTAGGAAGATACCACAGAAGCGCAACATGCTGGTTTCGGGCATGGAAAGACGTTGGAAAACAGCCGTCGGCGGCAGGGGGAGGGGGGCGGAGAGGAAGCAGGGGAAGTGGCCAAGAATAATCGGTCGACGGTATCGGATACGTAACCTTCCCGACAAGCAGATTGTGAGATCGAGGTCCTAAAACTATGTGATTTTTAACCAAAAAAATCTAAAAATATATATAAAGAGGAAGAAAATAAAAAAGTAAAACAAAGAAAGATAATGTATTATAACTTTGTTTAGGGATTCTTACAAGGATGCATCGTCTTAGAGCGAGAAAATACGGGAGCAGCTAAACAGACAGAAAAGGAAGCATGAGCCTAAAAGCGTAGGTTAGAAAATATTCGCTGGCGTCAACCTTTCACGAACACGCTAAGATCTTTATTTTCTTTCTAAAGTAGCAGATGAGAAAGGAGATGTATCACCGCCTAACCAAATAACACGCGCTACTCTTAGTGGTTTTGATAGCGACAACATTATATGTAATGGCTTATCCTTTCAAGTGACACTTGAGCGATTGGAAATGCCAAAGAAGGCCATGTGAAACACAACCTTTGTGTAGATTTAGCAGAAGAATGCAAGAGGGATCTCCACTTAGCTGAAGTGGTGGTCCAAATAGAAATTGGCATTGACATTGTCCAAATAGAAATGGTGAATCTGCCGTGGAAAACGTGTAGAAAGAGAGGAGGCAGCCTTGGTGATCGGTTCTTATATAAGAACATGGCCGCAGGAGGAAGACCAGCAACCCGAGAGCTGTCATGGCTTCTAACGGATGCAGGCCCTCTCTTCCCATCCATGCCGTCGTCTCTCTCGTGCTTCTGCTGCTTGCTGCCGCTGCTACCTGTCTCCCGGCTTCAGCAGCAAACAGCCCAAAGCAGTCGAACAAGCCTTCTCTGAAGACAGTGCAGGTACTTAATCCTCTCGTCCTTCGTCTTCTTCTTCTTCTTCTTGTTTGGTAGGGAGCATAGTAAAGCCTGTTTCTGCTGTTCTCACAGAGTCCAGATGGCGACATCATCGACTGCGTTCCCTCTCATCTCCAACCGGCATTCGATCATCCCAAGCTCAAAGGACTGAAACCCTTGGTAACCGACACGCATATTCAAGCACGTAAATAGTAATCACATGCATGCACCTTTGGGTTTCATCAACTCTTCCTGCTTCTCAAACGTTTACACAGGAGCCGCCGGAGAGACCCAAAGGCCGCAAGGCCAAGTCTATGGCTGGTGGCGTAACCCAGTTGTGGAGAGCCTCCGGGGAGACGTGCCCACAGGGAACAGTTCCGATTAGAAGAACCACGGAC